TGTGGAGCGATATGGGTTTCATTTTGGCCAAAGAATCAATGCAATGTGACCTGGCGCATTGTGTTTTCGGTACCAATCGAGATTTGGCGCGTTTGACGCCCAAAAATGGATGCATTTGAAATTCCAACATCATCACCAAGTCATCCGGTTTTCAGATCAAATCTTTAATTTTGGTTATTTTGAACATCCACTTCATCCGAATGTTTTCCATTGGTAGTTTATGATTATATTTGAAAAAAAAAAAGTTCTTTACATTCCTATTCTGGAACAATATGTATTTTGACGTGAAAAACAGAAGAATGAAAAAAAAAAAGAAAAAAATTGATTTCATTGATTTCTTTAGTAAAATATTTTAAATATTTCAGCGTTGATTAATTTATTTCCAACAAATTTATAGTCAAACTCTTTCTTCGAGGTACTTAATTTTTGCTTTCATCCGAATGTTTCCTTGGTAATTTATTAATTATATTTGACAAAAAAAACATCATTCTTTGGATCAAATTTATAGCAATAATTCTCACTATAAATGACTTGAATGTTGAATATAGATTAAATATTTAAAGTTGCAATTAAAATTTGCATAAAATATGCAACCTTTAAAATAATCATCACATATATTTAGATATTTGGTATCTTAAATAGTATATTAGGTATTTAGGTATCACAAATTAATTAAATGTAAATTCATCAAACCACTAAATATGTATAGAAGATATCATATTCCTTACAATTATGTTTTTAATCGTTGATATCGTAAATACATTGATAAATATACTGCCATAATTGAAAAATACACTCATGTCCATAAATTAAGGATAATGAAGTTCAGGCAAAGAAAGAGATAGAAGCAAAACAAATTTGACTTATTTGTAAAGTCTATTTATTAAACAAAAGATAAAGAGCAAAAAAGATGCTATATGTTTGACATAATTAATAAAAATTGCGATTTTTATCCCTGGGGCAAATTTCAAAAAAGAACCCATTCATAAAAAATAGTATAACATGGTTAGTAGGATGGTTAATATGGAGTATGTCTCCCGGACGATGCAAAACAGGCCTTACAACGCATGCATGCTGAGTATCAAATTATCAATCTTATCTTGTTGAATATTACACCACTCATCAAGCAATGGTTGTAATCAGCAAGCAATGGTCAAGTTCCGGTTGACAGGTGGGAGGGGGTTGACGGGCTGCAATTCGTCGGCCAAGCATATCCCACACATGCTCTGTTGTATTCAAGTCCGGTGAGTATGCTGGCCAATCCATAAGGGTGATATCCTCCAATTGAAGGCATTCGTCTACAATGTTTGCACGGTGAGAACGGGCGTTGTCATCCATAAACAGAAATTCAGCACCCATGGCGCCCCGAAACAAACATACATGTTGTTCCAGAATGACATCCCGATAGATGTGGTCTGTCATCGTTACACTCTGAACATGCAGGTCAGTTCTGGAACCAAGAATAATTCTTCCTCAAACGAGCCATCCTGCACCACCGTAACGGTGTCGTTCAATGGTGTTCTCTTGGTGGTAACGGTTACCTGGCGCTCTCCAAATGAAAGTCCGGGCAGAATCAGACTGCAAATTAAACCTGGACTCGTCGAAAATCATCACACCAGACCACTGTTGTGATGTCCACAATGCATGCTCTCTACTCCAGGTTAATCTCAGGCGACAGTGAGTTGCGGTAAATGGAACACATCTGACAGGCCTACGAGCATATAGACCAATGTGCCCTAAGCGTCTGTACACGGTCTGCCTTGAAACTGCCGTACCGGTGGCTGAAGAGAGCTGACGAGACATGTCTGATGCTGTGCTCCGTCTGTTTCTTTTAGCAGTAACTGCTAAATACCGGTCCTTATTCGGCGTTGTAACTCGGGGGCGACCTGTGCTGTAACATCTACTCACATTACCATCATCTTGGAATCGTTGCCAAAGCCTGGAGATGACACTCTGGGCGATTCCAAGTTCCTCGGATACTTCCAGCTGGGTACGTCCACATTCCAGTCGTCCGATAATTCTACCACGAAAAAAAAATCATCCAAATGGCTTCCGTTTTGCCATAACTATGCAGTTATTGCACTGAAAGGCTTTTAAAGCGCTTGTGAACAATTTTGCTTCTTTGCCACCTTCCTTATATACCCCTCTCTTACACTCTCGCCATTGTGACGTACTATCCGCGCCATCTGGTGGTTTCCTGTAATTTGCATATTCTTCTTCAAGATGTGTGTGATAATTCTACAGGTGAAATTTTTATTTTAGAGTTCAATTCCTGTGTGATTCTGAATTATCCATAATTTATTTATTCACATGAGTGTATATAATATTAAGCTACTCTCATAATATATAATAACTTATTATAAATATATATTGCAGCAATAAAAAACAAAATGCAGTCGTACATACTTTGAGAAATTAATAAAAATAATAACTTAATTCATGAAAACGAATAATCAAAATATAATTTAATTTTTAAAAAAAAAAAAAATGGCTAGAAAGTTTTGATAAATCTTTCACATTTAAAAATTCTTTATTTCTTTATCTAGTAAATAAATGTAATGGACATTAAAAAATTCTATTCTGTTCAATTTCGTTAAAATTGCTATTTATAGTAACAGGTGGGCTGAAAGGTTCGTAGGTTTAATATTAAATCCATATCATTTTTAGTTATCCCTAACCTTCAAAAAACACGTGTACAAATTTGACAGCTGTTGCGCTATTAGTATGTGAGTTTAGCATTTTTAGTGAAGCAACTTTTTGTTAGTTTGAAAAAATGGATAAAAAAGAATTTCGTCTGTTAATAAAGAATTGCCTTTTTGTCGAAAAAAAATACTATTGAAGCCAAGGCTTGGCTTGATAAACATTATTCGGACTTTGTACCAGGAAAATCAACCGTGAGAAGTGGTGTGCTAAATTTAAACGGGGCGACATGAGGACCGACTCCATCACTTCATACCGGAGTCCAATCGACGATGATCACTAAAAATGCTATAACTTCACTAAAAATGCAACAGCTGACAAATTTATATACTTGTTTTTTGAAGGTTAGGACTAACTAAAAATCATATGGATTTAATACTAGTAGAGCCATCTATGTGTCCGCCTACGTACTTTTCAGTCCACCTGTTCTTTTTAGATGAAAATATAAAAAACGGTTCTCTTACTCAAAAATATTATGATAAAAATTAATTCTCTCATTCTTAAGAATTAATTTTAATTTATGTGCATCAATGCGCTCAGAATTTCAATATCGTAAATATTTCGTATGATTAAAAATTAGGTATATTCTTCATTTTATTTATAGGCATCACTAAAAAAATATAGATATAGTTCAACATTTACTTAAGCAAGATGATAAATAATTTTTTTCCCTGTTGATGCTGTGATATTGACGAAAGAAGATTATTTTTAAAGTACTTAACTTTATTGAGAAATGATTTTAAAAAAATGTGAAGCACTCTACATGTGAATTATATATATATATATATATACAAAATCATATACACACAAAACATAAAACATAACATTTGTATATATATATATATATATATATATATATATACAAGCACACAAAATATTATGATTTATGTAACATTTTAGGAAACTTGAAAAACACCAGATAAATACCATTTTTTTTTCTTATGATATTCGTATATTCGTTTATTTTCGATATTCGAACATTTGTTATTATTATTTTCTATTATTATTCTATTATCGTATTTATTCTATTATTCTATTTGATATTCGACATTCCTTACCTTTTTAAATTTTAATAAAATTTTTTTGAATTTTTTTCTAAGAAAAAACAATATAGAAATATTTTTAAATGATATGCTTTATCAGGAATAAATAAAATTATTTGACCAGACAATATTGCTAATTGGAACAGTCCTGGGATAAGGAATGCCTAGTGATATTGAACGAAATAGGCTAGAATAATGAATGAAGTCTAGGAATAATGAATGAAAAAGTTAAATGAAGGGAATTTCAACTTCTTATATTTGAAAATAATTATTATAATTATATATATATCAAAACCCATAAGTCATATTCCTTTGTGTCTATATATTTTTATTCATTTCTCTTTTAGTAGAGAGAGTCAAAGGAGAGTACTTGAACATCAGCCATGTGTCACGAGAACACATGGCTGCTTACCTGTGCATCGCATCTAATGGGGTGCCGCCCGCTGTGAGCAAGAGGATAGTCCTGCAGGTCAATTGTAAGTAAACAATAACAGTTTTAGGCGTGCGAACTTTAATTATTTCATATAGTCATATAACCTTTTCATTATTTTAACTACTGCCAGCATTTGTGAAAGGAGAATGCTACAAGTTATTCTAAAAAATGATCTTTCATATTTATATAACGATTATATTGACATAATAAAAACATTGTTTCAGTTATAATGAACACATTTCTTATAGCTATAGTCAAATAATCAATCAGGTTATATACTTATATTTCTTTCTGCTTATATTTTTGTAATATTCTTTATGCCTTTGATCTGTATAAAGAATATTACAAAATAAATTATACTTTAAAACCAAAAATCACGCTTTTTAGAGTTAATCAAACTAAAGAGTAAAAAATAATTGTTAACATAAGAATAAAATGACTGACGAGAAAATGAATGTCACTGTTCTAAAAGCGTGGGGTGCTCAATTCAACAATCGTTGTAATTTTTCACTAGTTTCATTCCGAAATGCAGAGTTAGTTTAAAAATGTCAAACAAAGCATCCCACGCTTTTAGAACAGTGATTCATTTTCATTTTCATTTTATTCTTATGTTTACAATTATTTTTTATTTTTTGGTTTGTTTAACTTTAAAAGCGTGTTTTTTGGCTTTTTTAAACTATAATTTATTTGTTTTTTAGTTTGATCAACTCTAAAATCGTGTTTTTAAACTATAATATTTAAATTAAGTCCCGGTAAGAGGACTGGAACTATAATTTTTACAATAATTTAATCGTGAGTAAAACAAAGGTTAAATGCGAATAGGTCGAGCCAGCCAGAAGTCGAACAGGAAATATCCTGATTCGTAGTCAGGCGCGTTATCCGTTCTGCCACTGTCCCACGTAGGTTTGAACGTCTTTACTGAATATTTTCATTCTACACTGGTTAAATTGCCCTTCATAAGTTAAAATGAAATCTCTAATCCTGGCGATCCTAATCATGATGAAATAATAAACTTATCAAAATATTTTATTGTCGCCTGTCCTTATAAGTCTACAAAGTTTAAATTAAATCGGATCTCTTACAGTAGGGCAAAATCGAGCCCAAAGAGTCAGTTACAAACAAACATACAGGTGAAACTAATAAAAGCGTATTAAATAGTCAATTTAAATATAATTAAAAAATTCTGTAAAATTGTGAAAACTTCATTGCAGGCTACTGCCTGCAATAAAAATGGCATGTTTCTAGTAGTAACATTGGATATAATTTATCATTTCCTTTCTCTAATAACTATTTTCATTTTAAATTTAAAGTTTAAGAAAACTTTGTTTTAATCAGTACAATGTAACAACATTATATACTATTCATATTACAGAATGATCCTGGTATGGTTTTATAATCAGTATCTACAAGATGAAACACTTTATTTACAAAACTAGATAGAAATTTTTGATTTCTTATATTAGGTATATTTCTGAATAGTATGTATATTTTGTCCTCAAATAAAAAAAAAAAAAAAAAAAATTAAAAAAAAAAATAATTAACAATTTTTTTAAACAATTTTTGATTTCAAAATGTAATACATGAAAATGCAGGTAAACTGAATGAGTTACAAATATATCCATTCACTGTTTTTAATTTCACCTTGTTTTTAGAGAACCTAATGCAACAAAAGCTCATTATATATATATTTCAAGTCCACACAAAATTATTTTTCTCCTCGTGTAAATTTATAGATTAAGCAATGATTGTTAACACTATTTCCAGGCCTTATAAACGCTTCCAGTTTGCAAGCCCCTTTATCCGTTTTATATGAGACTTTCGTGAACATGGATATAAAGCTAAATATAGTAGGGATACATAAACTAGTAAAAAAATATCAAAATCAACAATATCAATTCCAGCTGTTAACAAATTATAAGGGAAATTCAATCAAAAGCAGTTATTTGATATAAACTATTTGATTATAATTAAAGACCCGCATTCAAAATGCGGTAAAAAAAGAACCACTCGTCACAATGAGTTCAAATTTGAACTGAAGATACTTGAATAAGAGGGAAACGGTATGACTGAAAAAAGTTCCACCAATTTTTCCTATCCATTTTTAGTATGACCTTGCCATGGTGAATGGGCTTTCCACTAACAGTGTCACAACTGTTGAATGACTTGGAAGTCATTTTTTTCCATCAAAAACCGAAACAATCAAACGAACACTACACTGGGTTTCATGTGTAACTCTTGCCAAATACGTTGTCATTTCTATTCGAAATATCACTGGCAGCCTAATTCACTTTCTTTATCCCTTTCTTCGACATCTATTAATACACCATGGAACTTTTTTTTTTTTTTTGACGCCGTAGCATTTGCCCCTTCTTCAAGTATCTTCATTTCAAATTTGAACTGATTGTGACGAGTAGTCTTTTTTTTACAGTGGGCCTTTAATTATAACCACTTTGTATATATATATATATAACAATATATATATATATACTAGCTGACTCGGCAAACCTTGTTTTGCCATATACATTATTTCTATAAAATATTTTTTTAGTTAAATAAAAAAAAAAAAACTAACTTACTATAAATGTGTAGAAATGTGGTTATGATTGGAAGAGGAAAGGAAGTTTGCAGACAATGACGGCCTATAAAACGATAATAACACTAACCATTTATTTATTTCCTCCTTTATACTTATTAAATTAATAAATATATTTTAAATTACATTATATAATAGCTGTATATACATCAAAAATAGTTATTTACATATTTACTACTAATTATGGCAATTAAAAAATATTTTTAATATAGACGGACTAACCAAAGTCCTAACCAAAGTTTAAAGACGGACTAACCAAATATCTTTGGTTAGTCCGTCTTTAGCCAACACAAACTAACTGTATGGTTTACCCACACGCGAACATGCCACGTATAGTTGTCCGTACGAAAAACATATTGTGCTAAAATCTAACCCACAAACAGACATCGTTTGGCCTTGGGACTTATTGATTGTCATTGCGAATGCCAATCTAATTGGAAATTGAATACGTTTGAATTCAATTGGCACATCTGTGGAATCATAGGGATTCGGGGCAGCAATATATTTTCGCCACGGTACTTGCCATTCAAAATGCATGCTTCGATGACGTTTTTAATTACTTTTTTAATGACTAATCGTGTTCCATTGCACAGCCATGGTGGGTTCAAATTACGAATCAAAATAACCGGAGATCCAACCTTTAATTGTAAATGATGTGGCAAATCCAATGAATTCAAAAAACTCAACGGATAATTTGCAGCTTCATTGGCATCGCAAAATGTATCGATAGATTTGTATGACACCAAGTCCCAAGGCAACAACTGTTGTATCTTGGAATATAAAACCATTGACGTCCACATTTTTTGCTGCCAAAATTGCCCTATCTGCCAAACAATCAAGATTTTTGAATTGTTGCATACATCGGGAAATATGTGGTCGGTGAGATTATTTTGCGAGTCGGTGATTGTACAGAAATCTGTCGGCAATTTTATGCATCCAGTATTGCCATGTACAGCAACTTTTCCATCGCCAATATCTAACAGTTGTTTTGAGAATGTTTCAGCGGATGGATTTTGAAGCATTTGAACGCGCATGTTTACTTTTAGTTGTAATTTCTCAACATTATGCCACAGTGACGATAATTTTAAGCAAGCGTTGATCTCATCATCGTACATTGAACGTGGAATGACAGGAAGTGTTTACCTGAAATCACCTGAAAGGAGTAACAGAGTGCCGCCAAATAGTTTGTCGGTTTTTTTATATCCTTCAATGTTCTGTTCAATGTTTCAAGCGAATGTTTTTGTGCCATAGTGCATTCATCCCAGAGGATAATTTACACTGTTTCAGCACTGTGACTATGGACGATTGTTTCTTTATATCGCACACACTGCATCTGGGTTATTTTGAATATTCAGTGGCAGCTTAAATGGTGAATGTGCTGTTGTGCTTCCATCTAATAAAGTAGCTGCGATCCCAGAGGATGCAACGACCAATGCGATGCCATTTTTTTGATCGTATGTCGGCAAGAAGTAGAGAAATGAGAAATGTTTTGCTAGTTCTACCTGGTGCATCAAAAAAAACTCATTTTGTCCTGCCGAAACTGCCAGCATAATGCGGTTGTAAATGGTTTTTTTGTTCATCAGTCAGTAGTGGGACATTGCGAGTAACAATCGCTGCCATTTGTACAGTATTGTACTGCCGTTCACGACTCATATCAGTGTTGATTAAATCAGATGAACTTCGATTTGGTGAACTCCTACCAAAATGACTGATATGTAAATTGGCAAAATGACAATACAAAGATCCTCGGTAGCAATCAATGCTTCATTGTACATTGCGTCGCTGAATGATATCGTCAGATCGTTGCACCTTGTACGATATAGATGCAATATATCTTCAGTCATTGAATCTTTGTGCTTATCCCACAACGTTTGTGCTCGAGCCGGGAAACATGTAGTCAATACTATAGCGATTAACAGACGAATTTGTGTTCCTGTACAGCTTAATGCTGCTTCCAGTAAGCATACTGTCCCAATGATTGTCGTCTTCTAGCAAGCCTAGTGTAAGGCATGCATCTTTATTCGTTGGATATTTTGTCCGTTTACTTTATGTATATCTTGAAATGACAATGGGCCTGTGACATTAATCAACAACAGTCGCAGATAAAAGCAGTCAGTCTGCCTTGGATTGACTGCATATACAGACCCAAATTGTTTGATTTGAATAAACCGGGGCATGCATCAACTGGTGCGCCTTGCTTGCGGGGTATCCATTTTTTTGATTGAGTCCAAGTAAAATAGCGTGGTACTTATGAATAGAGGAGTGTTTGTGCGAAGGCACCAAAAGCATCCGCACTATTAAGCAATTCAAAAAATTCAGGTGATTGTAGTTTTCGGTGAATTTTTAGCACAATCAAGAGCTGTCTCATTAGTGAAAAATACGCCCTGGCCGTTTTCAAGATGGACAGCTAAATGGATAACTGCTGGATTCCGTTCATGAATTGGGAAACCGAAGAAACGCCAGACAGCTTCATTGGAGTTGATGTACCGGCCAATTTGGCAGTTCGTTATTTCATCGTTGTTGTTCAATAGAGGAGCATTCACATTGGTATTTTCAATTCTAAATACAGCCATATCACTTCCTTTATTCACATACTTGCAAATATATTTGATGCATTTTACCGAACTGCAGAACTCAACATTAATATGAGCATTGAACGTTTTGCTCAACAGAGGTGAATATGGTACAACCCAACGATTATCAATCTCAATGTCTACGTCACTGATAGTTTTAGTAAATGATTGCCCGCCATTATCGGTACTTCTTCGACGATATATTGGAAATCCGTCGACATGTGTGACCGTATGGTTGGTGAAATCTTTAGAAAATGCTTTGTACATTTTCCATCTACCATGCAAGGCGATGAACGATTCAAATGGCCGCATGGGCCATGAATCCTGTTTGTAGGGACAATATCAAACAATAATTGATCAGTAGACGGATTTGGAATTTCTGCAGAAATTAAACTATCGATGTCTTCAGGACGTATTTTGTCGATAAACCAAATCAAAATGTGAGCATGAGGTAATCCTCGCTTTTGCCACGCAACCGAATACATCCAGCAACGTGTGGAGCCAAATATATGCAATTTTGTAATGAAGCCGATTAAAAACATTAATTTTGTTTAAACACACGTGTGACACACGTTTGATGACTAAAAAATTTAGAATAAAAAAAAACACTACATTGTTACCGACTACATTGTTAACACTACATTGTTTTGCCAAAAAAAAAAATTTAAAAAAATATTTACGGGTGGGCCACCCTTATCACTTAGGGGTTTAAAAAAGTTTACGACCGATTC